TGGTGAGAATCTTTGTTTTCTTGATGTTGAGCTTTAATCCGTACAGGAGGCTGAAGTCCCTGACCTTCTGCAGCAAGTGCTTCAGGTCTTCCTCAGTTTCAGCAAGCAGGTTTTTATAGCACAGGTGTTTAGGGAGGAAAGGGAGGGATATTCCATTGTGGTTTAACCAGGTGGGTGATCTTCTAGGGAAGGAAGAGAGGAACACTCCATGGTACTTTAATCAGATGGACACAACTATTCATTCCCTTTGTTGACATGTTGATATTCTTTGAATCCTTCGTTCTCCCTTTGACCTTGGTCTGGGCCTGACAATGAATACTAGACAACTGATCAAATTAAAACATAGGGCGAGGGCTGCCAATTTAGTGACACCATGTGGTAGTTGATACTCTTATCATGTGCCTGCCTTCAAGTTGGCACGACTCATAGTTGGCCCGCTCGTGAGTTTCAGAAACTGTCAATCGCACGGGAAGAGATTGCCTTTTTTTTTTCTCCCCCTCAGAACAGCTGGCAGATTCAAACCATGGTCCTTGGAGCTGGCAGCTCTTCCGCTAGGCCATCAGAGCTGCTCACACCCACACCATGTGGTAGCGATGGCACACGCAGTGCAGACGTGCAAAGTAGATGCTTGAATGAATTTTGTCTTTGTGGTATGGTTCTCTTAGTCTCCTCAGCATCCGTTTGTTCCATGGGTAAGTAAAGTAGGAGAATTAGGATTATTAATCTAGTTAGCCATTGGCTGACTCATCTAGTTTATGACAAAGTTGTCAAGCTGCGTGATAGGTTGAACTCTTTCTGGAGGCGTGTCCTAGCTTGGCAGCTGTTGATATTTTTCTTCCCCTACAGGCCGTCGCTGCAGGTGTTTTTCTACTGCTTGCTCACAGGGAGAGGACCCAGAGAGACCTGGTAAATACATGGACATCAAGGAGGAGGGCGGGTGAGCTCTGGTGGCCTAGTGGCAAGAAGCTGAACTGCAATCTTAGAAGTGCATGGTTCAAATCCACCAGACGCTCTGCTGGAGGAGGGACAATCTCCTCCTGTACCAGTCAGATCTGATTTGATGATACACACACACACACACACACACTAAAATAAAATAAAATAAGGAGGAGGAGGGCAGAGGGGATCCAGAGGTCTAATAGCTATTATTGTAGGACGTAATAAGAAAACATAAGTTCCAAATAGGTCTGAATCCTTTTCATCCGCACTTTACCGTGAGGGATTTCAGTAATCTACTAAAGAAGCCTCAGAGGGATAGGTTTTACCTGACCCTGCCTCAAATACTCTTCAAAAGTTCCTGTGATTATTGCACTGGGGAAGGCTGAGTGTTGGTGAACATGGCGTATACGTAATTATTTTGAAAGGATGGGTTCTCTGCTTTTAGTAATGTACCTTCAAGTCGCAAAACCACACCTTGGAGTCTCCTTCCCACTTCCTTGCTACCTCTCCCTCCACAAAAGGATGAAGAGGACTCTTTTCACCTACACGTGAATCACCCGATTGTTGGTAGGTGCCATGCTCTGGCTCAGAGAGATCCCATAAACAGCAAAAGACAACCTTCCCTGCTCCTGTGCCGGCCTCACGCCTCTGCTGTGCTTACATCAATTGCTGCAGTCACTGTGAATCTGGCCATATACAGATTATCTAATTCATCAGTTCTGGGGGAGACCTCAACTATGCTTTCTGCACACCCAGTCAGCTCTCAGCAAGATGGTTTGACACAGTGACTGCAGCAATGGACTCAAGTGTGTCAGGAATGGGAAGGACTACAGTCGGCTCCGACAGGGTTCTGATACATCGTTCAAAGGGATGCTGTGAGTTGTACGGTACTTGACTGCACCTAGCAACGACAATAACCGGCTCTCGTCCACAGTAAATCTCACTGCCCAATGTAGAGGTCATGCATCTCCAGGTTTGAGTCCAGGTTTAAAGTTTCCTCCCACTGCAACGTGAATTCCAGCCTTGGAAACCTGATAGAGGGTCGCTATGGGTTTGGACAAACTCAATGGCAGTGGTTCGTGTGTTGGTGCTCCTGGATTATGAGCAACACCTTGAGAAACAAAGCCCTTCTGTAGGACAGAGATTTAGTTACTCCCATGTCTTCCTGGCATAGAATGGTTCTTCAACATGTCATATCCCAATAAAAAGAGTTGGAAACAACCCAAGTGCCCATCAACAAACAAATGGACAGAGAAACTGTGGTCAATTCACAAAATGGAATACTACGCTGTATTGAAAAACAAGGAACTCATGAAATATTATACAAAATGGGTGACCTTGGAGGACATTATGCTGAGTGAAGTATCTCAGTCACAAAAAGACAAATGCTGCATAGTGCCACTGTTGTAGAATGGGACTGACAGTGGGGTTGGGAGAAGACTGAGAAAGATGGGATAAATAATGTATACTGCATTGAAACAGATGAGGGGAAGTACTGTTTAGGAGCAATACACGATTAGGTATTATTGTCATAACAGGAGTCCAGAATGAAGGCTGCACAGTGGAGTGGACTTGAGGGGAGGGATTGTATAACAATGAAAGAATTTTATTTTTCAAAGAGAAGAGCAAACAGTGGGGGAGGTTGCTGGGAGAAAAGTGCAACACTGAATGAATGGAAATCCAAAGTCTCTGTAAATTTTCATTAAGAAGAAGAAGAACTTCTTTTTAAATGCCTGTAAAGTGGAATCCAGCACCTTCTTGCTCTCATTGGCTGGTGGTGTATATTGAACAACGAGCTTGTAAAATGTCACACAACATGGGAGACCCTGAATCACATCAGGCTGAGTGAAACATCGCAGTCATAAAAAGGGCAAATACTGCATAGCACCACTGCTATAAAGCAGTTCTGACATGGAGTTTGGGAGAAAAATGGGGTAAGAGTGGATAGATAAAGATCATTGCATTGAAACAGATAAAAGAAAGGACTGTCTAAAATGGATATATAATTAAGCATTATACATATGACAATAGCCCAGAATAAGAGATATATCATTGCAAAGAGTACTGGGGTCGGGGAGGGAAATTATGCAACAGTTAATGACTATTTTTTTTTTTTTAAGTGAACTGGAGAAGTGGAAAGAGAGGGCAAGGGGGTAAAACTTGCAATAATGGATTAATGAAAATCTAACATCTGTAATTGCTTTGCTTGGCTCCAT